AGCGTTAATGGATATGCAATAAGAGCTTCTCCCGACCGTTCCAACAGCCATAAGTAGCTGACTAAGTTCGCCAGATTTGCTTGTATAGAGGTTGAGTAAGGGTTTCCTCATATCGTATAGCGTTTGAATACAGCTTGAGGCTGTATAAATGAAATGAGTAAAGCGTTTACATTGTGAAAATTGTTAGTTGGATATCGGCCCCCTCCCATGACGTAATGCCTTCGGGCGGTTCCGGGGAGGGCAAGGGCCTAGAGCACAGGGTAAGGTTTAGTGGGTCGGGAGTGCTACTTCTCCCATCCCCACACCCTGAGTTATCTTCTCAGGTGTCTAGGAGCAGATTCCCCCATGTAGAAAAAAAAAAAAACAACAACGTTACACTATGACATCTACTATGCGCTGAGAAAATGGCTGCGTGCCTCCTAATTTTTATCCTCTCTTAGTGATTACCGAATGTGGTATTACAGGGTTAAGTGCGTAGTAGGACAGAAATGAGATCAAAAACCTATTTTACAATTTCGAAACTGATTTTGAAGGATATATTTTTTTAAATTTTCGTTTCCCTAAGCCCTTAACCATATACTCATCATTGCGATTATCGGGATGTGATTACCCAGATTGTGCAAATCCCTTTTGGAAACTAACCAACATTCTTAAAAATAAGCCAAGACCCATTCCACCACTGACCCCACTGGATCGTTACGGCGACCCAGTGGTGCTGATAATTCCTGAAGAGAAAGCTGCCGCGATAGGTCAACACTTGGTCAGCTCCCATAATCTCGGACAAAACATAGTCCGCCCTCACCAAGCTAAGGTTGCTGAAAACGCATCCATCCTCCATCAGATTCCCAATATATTTTTCCGAAGAATCCTGTTGGCCTACCTATATCAAATCATCTAAAAACATGAAGCCCCCAAACAGCGCCGGTGGTGTAGTGGTAAGCGTGATTACCTCTCACCCCAGCAGGCCTGGGTTCAATCCCAGTCGGCACCGTCGGGATGTTCTGAGGCATAACATCTCTGATCACGCCTTCCTTCGGATGGGAAGTAAAGCCGTTGGTCCCCGGTTCATGAGTTGATGGGTCGATAGGTAGGGTCCAGGTGTGGGAGAGCTGCCTACCTGGCACGTCGGTAGCATTGGTGCTCAGCACGGAAAACAAGATCGACGGAAAAAACAAACCAAAGGAAAAAAAAATGTAGCCCCCAGGTTTCGACAACATCAAACACTGGAGTTCCAGATTCTACAACCATCTGGCACTGATTTTTAATCTGTGCCTCCGACTTGGCTACTTCCCCTCGTGCTGGAAGTCATCTAAAGTCATACCCATCCGGAAACCTGGGAAGGATCCGTCCTTTCCTTCAAGTTATCGACCAATCAGCCAGGCTTATCAAAACTGTTCGAAAAAGCAGTCTACCACCGGCTCCTAACATCTACCGAAGAAAACAACTTGTTACTCGAGGAACAGTTTGGTTTCCGGAAAGGTCGTTCGACAATGTCTGGCATGATGGCCTGGTGTTCAAATTACAGCACTACGGTCTTCCAATCTTCCAAGTGAAGATAATTAACAACTATCTATCGAACAGGACGTTCCGAGTCTCTCCAAATGGCATCATCGGATGCATTCAACATCGGTGCTGGGGTTCCACAAGAAAGCATCCTTGGCCCCATTCTATTCAACCTGTTCACCTCCGATATGCTGGCTCTCCCTGATGGTGGATCGTTGTCTCTGTTCGCAGATAACACATCCATCGTCTACAAGGGTATGGTCATCGGAGCTCTGACTGGCAAATTTCAGAGAGGCCTGGACGTCCTGTCTGAATATTTCAACAGCTTGAAGATCTGTATCAACGCGGCAAAGACCCAGGTCATCATCTTTCCACACTCTAAATCTCCCAGACTTGTTTCGTCGGTGAATAATAAAATCTGCCTGAACGGCACAAAGATGGAATGGTCGAAAGAGGTAGTCTACCTCGGTTTAACACTAGACAGCAAGCTGATTATCAGGAAGCACGTTGACAAAACCAAAATCAAGTGTAACATTTTCACACTTAGAAATAACTAATTTTACACGTGACGGAATCCATCTTTGACATGAAGGATCAGCCGTAAACAAATATTCCATGTAAAAACCACGAAAACTATGTTTGATTGAGTTGAGTTTTGCGTCTGTTATGACTCAATTTTATGTCAAAGTTGACGCTCGTATATTTCAGTCTCAGATCGCCTAAATTTACATGATTTTTTCTAATTATGTTGATAAGATCACTGTATCCACTCATCAACAGGAGGTCTACTCTATCCCTGAAAAATAAGCTTGCTGTCTACAAACAAATCATCCTTCCCGTTAATGCCATCACCTTAAACTCCAAAGCATCCAGGACAAGATCTTTAGGATGGTCCTAAACAGTCCCCCGCGGACTAGAAATGCTGAGATCCACTTCCTGGCTGGAATTCAGACATTATAATAGAAGAACGGAGAGTATTCATCCTGGAAAGGTTCAATCTGAGATCAAATCATCAGATCATACGTGATCTAGCACGTTAGGTTAAGTTATACTCATAGTTAGGTAGGTTTTTCACTTGTTTTCAATTCAAACTAAACAACACACCCGCAAAGGGGTATTCTGTAAACTAGTTTAAAAACGCAAATATTAAATTAGAATAGGCTTATCAATTAAAATCTTAAATGAATGTACTATCATAATCAACAGAAATAAACATAATTTTACTACTACGGATGTGATTGCTTGAAAAATCAACATTCGATTCGTGGTCCAGAGGGCCGTGTGTCATATACCAATCGGTTAAGCTCGACGAGATCAGAAAATGTCTGTGAGTGTATGTGTGAGTGTATATGGGTGTGTCTAACGAAATTAATACGCTCATGTTTCTTAGCAACCACTGAACCGAATTGTACGCAAATAAAACGCTATTGAATATTTTTGGAATTGGTCAACTGGTTCCGGAGATATGACTGGAACATGTTCCGATGAGTATGGGTTACGATAGTGGAGGTTATCTAAAACATCAAATCACATGAGAATTCAAAATCAAGTTCATTGATAGCCATACCTAATGCCCAGAACCACATCAGTGCCATCCGGTCATATTCCGGGTAACCCTCGGGAAGTGGCCAGTTCCTGACTAAAACCAAAATCTATCATGCGACACATCAAATTACATCAGAATTCAAAAACAATATCAATGACAGCCAAACCCGAGTAGAAGAAAATATCAAACCAATAGCAAGTTTTACTATTTTTAAAAATATCAGGACATCTCAATTTGTTATTGGTTTGATTGAAATAATAGTTAAAATATCAAAAATAATAATTGAAAAGTTGTGGGACTAAAACAGAATATTGGCAGAATAAGTTGTTGTTTGAGCTGCTGAAGATCAAACCAATAGCAAAATGATCTATTATAGAAAAATAAAGATTAACAAAAGCATCCAACATGGCTTCATCGAACCTCGAACCCTAGCCAAATACGTAACTGTCGCAAGTGCTGACCACTTTCTCATATCAACTTTTTGAATGAAAGAGGAAAACGGGCGAACAGTTTCCTCGATTGTCAAGGTTTATGCCGTTCAGTGATAAAAATAAAAGAACCTTGAGCAGACGTTGACATTACAGCTTCAAGCAGGATGAGGGTTAGACTGAGGCAAAATTTTAAATTTTCGCTCCAGTGCTCAAAGGGTTCCAAATTGGGTCCTGATCATCCTCCCAAAATTTGAACTCATTTAGTAAGAACCTGACTTGGCACAATCCATTTGAAGTTTATATGGGAATTACTATGGAGAAATCATAATTTCGGTTCATATCTATCTCAAAATTCACCAGTTCACTCTACTTTAAAAAATGATAACTCTGCTTGTTGAAAACTTTCTCAGCTAAAAGTTTGTTCAAGGTCACTTTTCGATCAAATGTAAAGAGCACAAATTATTAATGATTCAAGTTACTGATAACTTATGATTATGCTCAATCAACTGTTCAGCAGGCAACATTGGTGATTATGGCGCGTAGAATAGAGGACAAAAATCATGGCTACTACGGCACACTGCAGAATACAGTGTTGCCCACAATACAGTTGCTTAATCTTGCCATAAGATTATCAATCTCTTAAACAATTAATAACTATTTAATTTGACGTTTGGCAGAAAAAGCGATTTTCTGCAAAGTTGTAGCTGATAAAAATTCCCATGATAATAGCAATAGAACTTGTTAACAGTACAATATGGAAAAAGGCTAGAATACAATGAACAAAAAGTTTGGTTTTCCCATAGTAATTTCCATATAAACTTCAAATTGTTCGTGCCAAGTCAGTTTTTTATCAAATGAGTTTAAACTTTCGGTAGCTAATCAGGACCCGATTTTAAACTGTTTGAACACCGTGGAGCGAAAATTTCAAATTTTGCATCAGTCTAATGAGGGTGTTCTGCAATTGTTCAAGATTAACTTTATAAACTCGTTTTGCTATGGATATGATATTCTCGTCGGCGTACGAGATATTATTATCAACAAATGAAAACCTTCTGAAGTAGCCAAAAATGTATCATTGTTGTTATTTAAAGCATTGACTTGGAGAGGGTCCATGTAAATTCACAAACCGGAAACCCACAAACTTCTTTTGTAATAATCGGATAATATCCAAGAGACGGTTATGCAAAATTGATCTCCATTTTTTAAGCTTCGCCATTGAGGTAATATATAATTAATGTTACTTCGTTTCCAAAACAAAACATAGGAAAAATCCATTCGATTCGAAGATTTAACCAATCCGCATAAATCATGCTTCACCAAATGTTGCAATAAGCTTCTTCTTCCAAATAAGTATCCGCTTTCGATTTCACCGCTATTCCTAAAAAAAAATACTCCATAACCAACGCTCTCCAACCACTCCAAAGAGTCAAAACAAAATCCGCAAGACAAATAAATCGGCTTTCAAAATCCGCTCCCAAAAACCTAATGGTTAACCATTGCACAGATCTTGAATCACTCACTTCTAGCGGCTCGACGTTCGACGTCCGATTTTCCCTCGAATCGATGCTATGCGCCAAAACACCACCTTCCGTCCTCTCGGCTCGTTCGTTTCCCACCTTCCTGGTCCGGTCGGCTTCTTTGGATTCTGAAACAATTTCACAACACCCTCTCGCTTCTCGCCTTCGCACCTTCTTCACCTTCAGCGATTGTTGGGTCAACACAAGACTCACACAAACACACAGAAATCTGATCGATTCTGCAAGTAGAACACAGTCGATCGATTCGTGACTTATGGGGCACTCTCAACACCTCCCAACTTCATCAGTGCGCCACTTTTAATCTTTTCTTCCTCGTACTCTCCGTTGTTCTCGCCCTCTAATCCATCATCAACGGCGCGCAACAGCAGAAACTACACATCGATCACGTCACGATTTATTTCGCACAATGCAACTGCGAATAAAGAATTCAATCAATCTTCCACAAATCGCACCAAATCTGGCTTCATTCGCACGCAGAATAGGTTTTTTTTCTTTCTTTCGGCGATCGCAACGCTTTTTCCAATCACAACGAATCACGTTTCGCACTTTCTACATTACCAATTCCAACGCTCCAGCCGGACAGGAAAGATCAAAGTGGATCACCGTACCTTGCCCAACGCACTGCTCTCACAGACTACAACTTCCCGGAAGGAAGCACCAACCAACAAGCCAACCGAACCTGACCGCGGTAAATCGCGTACTGAAGTCGCGGCTGATCTCGGTGGTGGAACAGAAATCAAAACATCATCAGCTGCTGCCCCTGGCTGCCGGTGTGGAGCGGAGAAGATCGCGACATACCGCGCGATGATGTTCCGGTCCACAACCTGAGAGAGCGAGTGGAATGCTCTCCCGCTCGAGTACAACTACAAGATCACTGGAACGCACTGGAAACTGGAACGTTGGGTTTCAACGGATGGCGTAAAGCCGTTCATGGTTCTGGCCGTTTGCCGACGACAGTTGATTAATTTGTCATTTCTCACATCGTTTACTTGCAATAAAAAGGGCAACAACGGCTCAGCAAACAGATTTTCCGGTTCAATTATTTGTATGACCATTTCGATGTATCTAGCCAGTCTGTGCTGGCTTCGGTGGGGTGGAATTTTGTTTTTATTTTGCTGTAAACTAGAACTCTAGACGAACATTTCAAAAGGTCCTATCTACTTTGATCGATTTTCTTCAACGACTTTCTATCATCATAATGGAACATTAATTTCTCAGGGTTATGCAGCAAGCTATGGGGCATCGATTCTTCTGACTTAAACTTTATGAAAAGGGATATCACCTCAGCTATCCTGTATATTGCTTCCATCTGGATGGGATCTGTTGCAAACGCGACATTTGCACCATTAGCAGGCCTTCCTTGAACTACGGCAGGACTTCCCTGAACGTCGACAGGACTACGCTGAACTACGGCAGGACTTCTCTGAACTTCAGCAGGACTACGCTAAACTACGAAAGGACTTCCCTGAACTTTGGCAGGACTTTCCTGAAGTTCGGCAGGCCTTCCCTGAACATTGGCAGGACTTCCCTGAACTTCAGCAAAGCACCCCTGAACTTCATTAGAATTTCCCTGAACTTCAGCAAAACTTCATTGAACTTCGGAACGCCTTCCATGAACTGCAGCAGGACTTCCCTGAACTTCAGCAATACTTCCCTGACCTTCGGCAGGACTTCCCTGAACATCAGCAGGACTTCCCTAAACTTCGGCAGGACTTCACTGAAGTTCGGCAAAACTTTCCTGAACTTTGGCAGAATTTCCCTGAACTTCGGCAGTACTTTCAGCAGGACTACGCTGAACTACGAATGGACTTCCCTGAACTTTGGCAGGACTTTCCTGAAGTTCGGCAGGTCTTCCCTGAACATTGGCAGGACTTCCCTGAACTTCAGCAAAGCTCCCCTGAACTTCATTAGAATTTCCCTGAACTTCAGCAAAACTTCATTGAACTTCGGAAGGACTTCCCTGACCTTCGGCAGGACTTCCCTGAACATCAGCAGGACTTCCCTAAACTTCGGCAGGACTTCACTGAAGTTCGAAAAAACTTGCCTGTACTTTGGCAGAATTTCCCTGAATTGGCAGCAATTGAAATGGCAGGACTTCTCTGAACTTTGGCAGGCCTTCCTTGAACTACGACAGGACTTCCCTGAACTTCGGAAGGACTTTCCTGAAGTTCGGCAGGCCTTCCCTGAACTTCATTAGAATTTCCCTGAACTTCAGCAAAACTTCATTGAACTTCGGCAGGACTTCCATGTACTGCAGCAGAACTTCCCTGAACTTCAGCAATACTTCCCTGAACTTCGGCAGGACTTCACTGAAGTTCGGACAAACTTGCCTGTACTTTGGCAGAATTTCCCTGAATTGGCAGCAATTGAAATGGCAGGACTTCTCTGAACTTTGGCAGGCCTTCCTTGAACTACGACAGGACTTCCCTGAACTTTGGCAGGACTTTCCTGAAGTTCGGCAGGTCTTCCCTGAACATTGGCAGGCCTTCCCTGAACTACGGCAGTACTTCCCTGAACTTCAGCAGGACTACGCTGAACTACGAAAGGACTTCCCTGAACTTTGGCAGGACTTCCCTGAACTTCAGCAAAGCTCCCCTGAACTTCATTAGAATTTCCCTGAACTTCAGCAAAACTTCATTGAACTTCGGCAGGACTTCCATGTACTGCAGCAGAACTTCCCTGAACTTCGGCAGGACTTCCATGTACTGCAGCAGAACTTCCCTGAACATCAGCAGGACTTCCCTAAACTTCGGCAGGACTTCACTGAAGTTCGGAAAAACTTGCCTGTACTTTGGCAGAATTTCCCTGAATTGGCAGCAATTGAAATGGCAGGACTTCTCTGAACTTTGGCAGGCCTTCCTTGAAATACGGCAGGACTTCCCTGAACTTCGGCAGGACTACGCTAGACTACGGCAGGACTTCTTTGAACTTCAGCAGGACTACGCTGAACTACGAAAGGACTTCCCTGAACATTGGCAGGACTTCCCTGAACTTCAGCAAAGCTCCCCTGAACTTCATTAGAATTTCCCTGAACTTCAGCAAAACTTCATTGAACTTCGGAAGGACTTCCATGAACTGCAGCAGGACTTCCCTGAACTTCAGCAATACTTCCCTGACCTTCGGCAGGACTTCCCTGAACATCAGCAGGACTTCCCTAAACTTCGGCAGGACTTCACTGAAGTTCGGCAAAACTTTCCTGAACTTTGGCAGAATTTCCCTGAACTTCGGCAGTACTTTCAGCAGGACTACGCTGAACTACGAATGGACTTCCCTGAACTTTGGCAGGACTTTCCTGAAGTTCGGCAGGTCTTCCCTGAACATTGGCAGGACTTCCCTGAACTTCAGCAAAGCTCCCCTGAACCTTATTAGAATTTCCCTGAACTTCAGCAAAACTTCATTGAACTTCGGAAGGACTTCCATGAACTGCAGCAGGACTTCCCTGAACTTCAGCAATACTTCCCTGACCTTCGGCAGGACTTCCCTGAACATCAGCAGGACTTCCCTTAACTTCGGCAGGACTTCACTGAAGTTCGGAAAAACTTGCCTGTACTTTGGCAGAATTTCCCTGAATTGGCAGCAATTGAAATGGCAGGACTTCTCTGAACTTAAGCAGGCCTTCCTTGAACTACGACAGGACTTCCCTGAACTTCGGCAGGACTTTCCTGAAGTTCGGCAGGCCTTCCTTGAACTACGGCAGGACTTCCCTGAACTTCGGCAGGACTACGCTGAACTACGGCAGGACTTCTCTGAATTTCAGCAGGATTACGCTAAACTACGAAAGGACTTCCCTGAACTCCAACAGGACTTCCCTGAACTTCGGCAATAGTTGCATGAACTTCGAAAGGACTTCCCCGAACTTCGGCAATAGTTGCATGAACTTCGGCAGGCTTTCTCTGAACTTCAGCAGGACTTCTCTGAAGTTCGGCAGGACTTCCCTGAAGTTCAGCAGGCCTTCCCGGACCTTCGACAGGCCGTCCCTGAACTTCGGCAGGACTTCTCTGAACTTCGTCAGGACAACCCTGATTTTCAAGAATTGAAATGGCCGGACTTCTCTGAACTGCGGCAGGACTTCCCTGAACTTCGGCAGGACTTCGCTGAACTACGGCAGGACTTCCCTGAACTTCGGCAATAGTTGCATGAACTTCGGCAGGTTTTCTCTGAACTTCAGCAGGACTTCTCTGAAGTTCGAAAGGACTTCCCTGAAGTTCAGCAAGACTTCCCGGACTTTCGACAGGCCGTCCCTGAACTTCGGCAGGACTTCTCTGAACTTCATCAGGACAACCCTGATTTCCAAGAATTGAAATGGCAGAATTTCCCTGAACTACGGCAGGACTTCCCTGAACTTTGGCAGGACTTTCCTGAAGTTCGGCAGGCCTTCCCTGAACTACGCCAAGACTTCCCTGAACTTCGGCAGGACTTCGCTGAACTACGGCAGGACTTCTCTGAACTTCGGCAGGACAACGCTGAACTACGGAAGGACTTCCCTGAACTTTGGCAGGACTGTCCTGAACTTTGGCAGGACTTCCCTGATCTTTGGCAGGACTTTCCTGAACATTGGTAGGACTTCCCTGAATTTTGGCAGGACTTTCCTGAAGTTCAGCAGGCCTTCCAGGAATATTGGCAGGACTTCCCTAAATTTCAGCAAAGCTTCCCTGAACTTCGGCAGAATTTCCCTGAACTTCGGCAGGACTTCCATGAACTGCAGTAGGACTTCCCTGAACTTCAGCAATAGTTCCCTGAACCTCGGCAGAACTTCCCTGAACTTCGGCACAACATCCCTGAGCGTTGGCAGGCTTTCTCTGAGCGTCGGCTGGACTTCGCTGAACTTTGGCAGGACTTCCCTGAACATCAGCAGGACTTCCCTAAACATCGGCAGGACTTCACTGAAGTTCGGAAAAACTTGCCTGTACTTTGGCAGAATTTCCCTGAATTGGCAGCAATTGAAATGGCAGAACTTCTCTGAACTTCAACAGGACTTCCCTGAACTTCGGCAATAGTTGCATGAACTTCGAAAGGACTTCCCTGAGCTTCGGCAATAGTTGCATGAACTTCGGCAGGCTTTCTCTGAACTTCAGCAGGACTTCTCTGAAGTTCGGCAGGACTTCCCTGAAGTTCAGCAGGCCTTCCCGGACCTTCGACAGGCCGTCCCTGAACTTCGGCAGGACTTCTCTGAACTTCGTCAGGACAACCCTGATTTCCAAGAATTGAAATGGCCGGACTTCTCTGAACTGCGGCAGGACTTCCCTGAACTTCGGCAGGACTTCGCTGAACTACGGCAGGACTTCCCTGAACTTCGGCAATAGTTGCATGAACTTCGGCAGGTTTTCTCTGAACTTCAGCAGGACTTCTCTGAAGTTCGGAAGGACTTCCCTGAAGTTCAGCAAGACTTCCCGGACTTTCGACAGGCCGTCCCTGAACTTCGGCAGGACTTCTCTGAACTTCATCAGGACAACCCTGATTTCCAAGAATTGAAATGGCAGAATTTCCCTGAACTACGGCAGGACTTCCCTGAACTTTGGCAGGACTTTCCTGAAGTTCGGCAGGCCTTCCCTGAACTACGCCAAGACTTCCCTGAACTTCGGCAGGACTTCGCTGAACTACGGCAGGACTTCCCTGAACTTCGGCAGGACAACGCTGAACTACGGAAGGACTTCCCTGAACTTTGGCAGGACTGTCCTGAACTTTGGCAGGACT